CCAAAGTTATAAGGTATTTTTATTTGAATTTTTTAGTTAGATTTGGCCATAGAATTCGAAAATTCTCAGGAAAAAAGCAACAGAAGCATTTCTGCACTCTAGTTCTGAATAAATGATAACATTCTGCACAATCCTTATTACTCAAACTATATGAGAAGAGCATATTCGTCAAAATCAGTCCTTTAACTTTTTGCTACTATTGTAGATACTAAACATTCTTAATTTCTTTCTGTTTTCTTTTCCCTGATTTTCTACCTTTGCGTTCATTTTAAATATCTAATGACATTGAATAAAATAATCGTAATATTTAATCAAATTTTACAATTAGCAGGTTTTCAATTATTTTAAAGAAAATAATTGAAAAACTGAAAATAGATTGATAAAAAGCGCGCGGTACCACACACATGCTACAATGTCGACTCAAGAGTGAAAGAGAGAATTCTCATTATTCCCAAGAAGAGAACAGATATAAGCATGTACTTATCCATATCAAAGAAAGCACAGAGAATAGCAGGAGCGTACCTAAAACTAAGTGCCAGCCGACCCTCCAGGTATCTGATGGCGGAGTTGACGAAGGTGGCGGGCAAAGCGATGGCAAACCATCGTGCGAGCATTAAACCAAAGCCGCGTACATCGCGTAAAACTATTCTCTTCACGATCTGACCCTCCAATTCGGCTACATACACCGATAAAAAGGTTCTCGCCAACAACGTCAGTGTTGCACATGCCAATAAACCCATTTCTCGAGTACGCCATCCTGGTACCATAATCTTCAATAACATTATCAGCTGTCGGAAAAAGTCGCGATCCAATCCGACTGATAATCTTTGTTTTTCTCCGCCATTCCCAGTGGAATTGTTATTAGAAGAATTGTTTCGGAGAACAATATTGTTTCTATTGTATTTGGAGTGAGATTGTTGGCTTTTTTGCTGGGTGGATTGTTTGAGGTGAGTGAGGATGTGCGGGTAAGTGAGTTTAAGAAGATAAAGTGCCGTAGCTGCGCCGGCGATGCCGCACGTCAGCGTCTCTTGTCGCACACTGTAGCGTGCAGACGCACCGTCGATCAGCTTCGAGAACACCGACGACATTCTTTGTCTTCGTGTCCTCGTCGGACGAAAATTGGCAAATTAGCAAATCTTAATAGCGCGCATTCCGCGCTATAACGAAAATCACGATAACAATGATGATAACGACAATTCAACTCCGCTTTGTTGCGTTACGTTGTAGTCCATGATATTTTAGACGCGAGCGAGAGCGCCTGTTCGATTGTGCACACGCCGTTACATGAACGCGCATACGCGTGACCGTTCAGGCCGGCCATCAGCTGGCAACTAACGCTTACTCTCGCGCGATACGTCGCGATGGAGAACCCACCTCAGGTCTTCACAGCTAGCTTCGTTCTCGCGCGTTGCCCTCTCCATGATTTTAATTCTTGTTTCAGTACATTACTTAGTGCTTTGTGTTAGTAAATGAGTTAAATTCTCCTATTCGCTCAGTGACACGTAATCGTTTAGATTTTAATAACAATAAGCGATTTATGAATCAGCACTAACAAACAAGTGAATTGTTATAGAATTATGAATTTTCATATGAATTTATTGGCAAGTTTAAATATTTTTTAGATATTTGAAGAATTTCAAGATTATCAAAATGATTAAAATTTTTAAAAATTTTAATTGTTTTAGGAGTGTTAATTTATGCTAAATTTTTATAAAAAGATTTTATGAATTTTATATTTATGTAGATTAATTTTTATGATAAAATTTTGTAAACTTTTCGTGTAATTTATAATTAGATTTATAATTTTGTATATTTTTTATTTTATTTGTTATTATAAAATGTTTATTTGACAATAGTGTTTTAAATTTTTGAAGCTTTCCAAATACGATTTTTTATATACACTATATTAATGAAATATTATTATACAACTAATCTATATTTGTTTTGGTTTTTCTTCATTTTAATTTCATTTATTGAAGAGACAATAAATATTTGTTAGCTATAATATGTGTTGTTCAATATTAAAATAATCAAATGTATACATTTACTTGATTTAACAATATCTTTAATTGATATAATCTCCTGAACTAATTTCTTTATTCTTTGATTTAAATATATTCTTATAATATTTAATTTTGTAACTATTATAAATTATATAAATATATAAATATAAATAAATAAATATATATATGTATATATATATACATAATATATTTCAATTTATTAAGTTTCTACTATACGGAGAAGAATAAGTAATAAAAAATTTATTTGTTATCTACTTTTATAATATCATTATCATTATTAACAAATCATTTTTTAAATTATACTTTGTCACATATATTATTTATATCTAAAACTTAATAAGGGAAACAATAAGTGTAAAATTAATAAAAAATAAAAAAATAATATATATTTCATTTTTCTATCTAATCTACTTTTTTATCACAGTTTATTATGTTTTATATTTGAAATAAAATGAGTAAAAAATTAATGAAACAAACGGAAAGTAAATAAGAATACGGATTTCTCGGAGCTGTAATTCCCGGAGATTAAACTGCTTTTTACACTTGAAAGTATTTAGTTTTTGTCTAGCTACGATCACTTGCACCGTGATATCACAAGGTCAACGCTCTGCAGTTGACCGCATCTTCCTCTTTTCTTGCTCAATATGTTTTGCCAGTAAACTGCAAATATAAAGTCACAATGTAGGCTATGTTAAATCGATTGCAACATAAGCACAATGGGTCTTGTATAATCAAATATTGCAAAGAGAATAAAATTAGAAATTTAATATATTTTATTAAAAATTTGGAAGTTGGTAGTTTGCATATAAAAAAATGTTTTATACAAAAGTTTTACAATAAAATCACCTCTTTTCACTCACGGCATCATTAAAAAAAATTTATTTACAAAATTTTTAAAAATAAAAAATTATTTTTCAAACATGTTATTAACGTAAATAAATACATATGATTTTGTCGTAAAACTTTTGTAAAACATTTTTTAATATCGAATAGTTTTCGAGGTATAATAAAAAAAAGAAATTAGGAAATCACTTTAATATAAAGAAAGTGATTTCAAAATCATTTTTCCGCTGTAACTGATATTTTCTAAATTCATCTCTTTATGTTATCTATATGTATGTAAAGTTTTATTAAAATCAGAACTTAACACTTGTTATAAAACTAATTATACATTCACACATTTCGGTCGAAAATTGTTTTATTTTTTTCCGTGGCTATCACTTCCACACCACCTTGCGGTAGATAAGTTGGTGCGTTTTTTTATGCTTTTCCCAATAGGCCTTTTCTACTCTCATTTTTTAATACATAAATTATTATGGAATGTTCTTCCTTTTTAATAGTTTTTTAATAGTTTTGAGATTCTTTAGTATAGTTAAAATCCGTATATCTTTATGATGTGGCATAAATTCTTGCAAATTTGAGAGACAATGTCTGCTCCAATCTAATAATAGCTGAAATTTCCAATAACAGCCCCTACAATTCGAAAATCCAGTAGATTTTTGTTTCTCTGGAAAAGATATACAAGAAATACCACACTGTTTCACATATATGTGATGCATCTGCTATAATACGTTGTTCCCGATGCAAGGAATATTTTTGTATGCTCCATTTCTTTAAAGAATATCATAATTGTGAACATTTTGTTAAGTAAGAATCATGTAAGTATTAAAAGATTTAAAATTAAATTCAAATATTCATAATATGTTTATTGCTTTTTGTTTGCTTTTTGTTTACAATAAATGTGTTTATACATCACAAAAATAGCAGATAATTCATCTTGATATTATAGAAACAGTGACGCAGATGCAGATGCTGCCACATAGAATGACTGTCCTTTATTCGTAACAATTATAATTTATTATAAACTGTTCTATAGAATGTTATAAATATATTTAAAATAAAAAACAATATTCCATTATTTTATAGAATTCTAATGAAAAATATATTTTTTTAAATAATAAAAGAAAATAAGAATTGAATTTTTGAAAATAATTTTTTTTTAAATATTATATTAGACATTATAGTTTAAAAGTCTAAATTTAAGATAACAATATTTTAAATATTACTACTATATTATTAATAATATTTTAACATTATTTTATTGTATTTCATAAATTATTCAAGGTAAAAATGTTATTTTAAATTATTATACCTCAATAACTTAAAAAGGAAGGATAACATTCCGAATAATTTATGTATTAAAAAATGAGAGTAGATTAAGCCTATTGGGGAAATCATAAAAAACGAACCAAGTTATCTATCGCAAGGTGGTGTGGAAGTGATAGCCATGGAAAAAAATAAAACAATTTTCGACCAAAATGTGTGAATGCATAATTAGTTTTAAAACAAGTGTTAAATTCTGATTTGAATAGAATTACTTTACATACAGTAGATAAGTAGATAACGTAATTAAAGAGATGAATTTAGAAAATATCAGTTACAGCGGAAAAATTATTTTGAAATCACTTTCTTTATATTAAAGTGATTTCTTAACTTTTTTTCATTATATCTCGAAAACTATTCGAGATATTAAAAAATGTTTTACACAAAAATTTTACGACAAAATCATATATATTTATTTACGTTAATAACATGTTTACAAAATAATTTTTTTTTATTTTTAAAAATTTTGTAAATAAATTTTTTTAATGATGCAGTGAGTGAAAAGAGGTGATTTTATTGTAAAACTTTTGTATAAAACATTTTTTGATATCTTGAATAGTTTTCGAGATATAACAAAAAAAAATTAATTTACATATAAGAAGTAGTTTCACCTCTTAAAATCGTTTTTGGGCCCCAACTGCTATTTTCTAAATTTATCTGTTTAGGTAACCTACATGTGTAAAAAGTTTCGTTAAAATCAGAATTTAACACTTTGCGAGATTCCCTTGTAAGCAGGGACCGAAAATAACGATTATTTCCAGATTTTCAATTGAAAAAATCATTGATTAAATGTTATCATATTCCTATTTTAAGTACATCAATATTATCCTTGAAAGCTGCACTATACAATTTGATTAGAATCTTTATTTTTCGATTTTTTTCAAAAAAGGATATTCATAACGATTATCAGGTAATTTTTTGTTTTTAAGTCGACGATAACGATTATCGAATGATTTTTAAATACCGATTGCCTCATAACAATTATGAGTTGATTTGATCGATATCAGTCATCGATAACGATTATTAGGTGACGCTTATCATATCGATTCTATTATAAGGTATCTGAGGGTATTACGGCCAGTACTTTTGTAATACAGCCACTTGGCGATTTCAGTGTTAATTTCAAAGCTAATTAAAAGATGACTCCACTATTTTGAAAACGAAGCAAAGAAAAAGCTATAGCAGTGCGCCGAGCGGAATTTGTTGAATAACCTTCCCTGAGGACGAGATTATAACTGTTTGCATGGTTGATGTTAAAAAGTTGATGTTTGTTAAGCTATATCAATGATAAAATAAAATTGTTACAAAGTTCAAGAAAAATAAAAGACAATTGTAATATTTTTGGACATATTCACTTTTCCATAAAACTCACACAAAAGAAAACAAATGAAATCGTTATCAGATATGCATATAGATCGTATGATCAGAC